AAAATCCTCTCAATTGGAAAAATATTCAAATTTTGAATAATTCATTTTCTCTGTCAAACTTTTACAAATGGTTCCTATTTATAAGCTTAGATGGGCAAGATGACATAAATTCCCACTAATTTCCCACTAACACTTGATATCCACTAGAATTGACTCCTCACCAGCCTACTAACTCATTAAATTCCACTAAGCCTAAAACACTAAATGCTGGTCTAGGTAACTTGAAAAGTCATTTAACTTATTTAATAAAATTAATAAAACGAAAATTACATTAAAAAAATAAGATAATGGACTTATTTAATTATTCAACCCCAAACTACTTAAATTCCAGCCCTTATTCTTTATCATATGACTTTGGGCTTGTTAGTCTTCAATTTTACCTTGCTGGATTCACATTAGGGGGGGTGGGGGAAGCTAGTGGATCCAAACCAAGGGTCCCTCCAACTAGGTCCCAAAAAGGGAAAATGGTAAGAATCCCTAATAGTGTAAATGAGGAGGAGAATCATCACACTCAACCTCCAAGTAAAAGCCTTTATAGTAGTTATCACAATGATGATTACTATCAAAGACCCCCTAGAACATATAGACATAGGGAGTCCTCCAATAAGAAACCTAACATCAATCTTCCCTCATTTAATAGCAAAGTTAATGTGGAAACTTATTTAGATCGGGAAATAAAGGTTGAACAACTTTTCTCTTGCCATGGAGTGAGTGAAGAAAGGAAGGTTTCTTTGGAAACTCTTAGCTTCCAAGGGCATGCTATGTATTGGTGGACCTCTTTAGAAAAATAAAGAAGAATAAATCAAGAACCCCCAATTCAATATTGGAATGAAACCCATAGTGCCTTGAGAAGGAGACATATTCCCCCATACTGTGACCAAGAGCTTATGGATAAGCTACAAAGGTTGAAACAAGGGTCATCTAGTGTGGAGGAATATAGGTAACAAATGGAGTTACTCATGATGATGGCTAGGGTTAGGGAGGAAGGGAGGACCACCATTTATAGATTCCAAAGTGGTCTTAACCTTGAAATAAGAGACAAAGTTGAACTTTTACCATATAGAGATTTAAATGAGTTTGTTCAACTTTGTTCAAGAGAGAAACATTAACTTAAAAGAAAATATTTTTGAAAAGACTTCACTCCCTCTTATTCCAAGAGTTTCAAAAAGGAGGGCTACTCTTCCATACCTTATTCCAGAGAAAAAGAAAAGGAAAAAGGAAAATAAAAAAAAGGAAAAAGAAAAATATTTTCTTAAAGCACCTCTTAAAGAATCTAAGTCAAGTGACATCAAGTGCTTCAAGTATCTTGGAAGAGGACATATAACTTCTTAATGTTCTATAAATAAAACCATGATTTTAAGAGGTCAAGATCATTGTAGTAGCCTTAATGAAGCTACCTCATCTTCTTTTACTTCAAGTAGTAAAGATGAAGCCATAGATTCTGTGGAAGAAACTTTACCTTGGGAAGGAGACTTACTCATGGTTATAAGGCTCCTTGGCAATCAATCTAGTGAAATTGACCAATCTCAAAGAGAGAATTTGTTTCACACAAGATGCAAGGTTTCAGAAAATACTTGTTCTCTCATTGTAGATAGTAGGTTTAGTTGCAATTGTTGTAGCACTAGATTGGTTGAAAAGTTAGCCTTAACCACTATGCCTCATCCTAAACCTTACAAATTGCAATGGATCAATGAGGAAGGAGGCATTGTGGTTAACCAACAAGCAAACATACCAATCTCCATTGGCAAATATAAATATGAAGTTTTATGTGACATAGTGTCATTGGAGGCTAGTCATGTTTTGCTTGGGAGGCCATGACAATTTGACAAGAAAACAATCTATGATGGCCTCACAAATAAAATAAGTTTCCAAAACATAGGTAAGAAGTTTGTTTGGTGCCCTTTATCACCTTCTCAAGTGAAGGAGGATCAATTCAAGGTGAAAGCCAAAAGAGAAGAAGAGGAGAAAAACAAAAACCTAAAATCAAAGAAAAGAAAAAAAGGTTTTCCCTTAAAAAATAAAGAAATGTTAGGTTCAAAAAAGCCTTAATCCTTGTGTCGTCCTCACTCTTTTGGTGCCTAAAGAAAGATGGCAAATGGAAGATGTGCATCAATTATAAAAGCCATCAATAAATAAAAGATAGGCACCCAATCCCTAGGCTAGATGATGCTAGATGAATTACATGGGGCCAACATATTTTCCAAAATTGATCTTAAAAGTAGTTATGACATGAGTGAAAAACTGCTTTCAAAACCAAATTGGGTTTATATGAATGGTTAGTGATGTCTTTTGGTCTCATCAATGCCCCAAGTACCTTCACATGAATAATCAATCATGTACTTAGGGATTGAATATGAAAGTTTGTTGTAGTTTATTTTAATATTTGTGATCTCACACCTTTTGTAGGAGTTGAGGACATGGATAAGGATGTTGATATGAGGATAGAACCTTCTCAAGAAGGAGGGGGTGATGGAGGACCATCCTTGGAGTTACATGTGGGACCCATCACTAGGTCCATGACTAAGAGAGTGGAAGAGGATAGGGGAGCTAACATTCCTAGAGACATGCTCCTCATGATTATAGAGTATTGATCATTCTCCTAAACTTTGTTCGTTTTTTGGTTTATTTTTAATTTCTTATTTTACCCTTGTATTTTGGGTACCTTAGACATATGATTCATTTTATAGCTAGGGAATTATGATAGGAGTGGAGAAGTGGCCTAGACGTGTTTTTGGTGATTATTGGAGTTATTTTTGGACTTAGAAAGGCTTAGGCCCAAGAGGAGGGCACCTAGGTTTCATGGTTTTATTATGCACCTAAATGTAGCTTAACTAAGCCAAAGATTTCATCCTTGGCCACCAAGTAGGCGACTCATTTAGGGTTGCATTTGGCATGGATTTGTGTTGCATTTCCTACACATTTAGCATGGAAATCTGAACACTTCCTAACCTAACCCTCACCCTAAATGATTGGCCATGACCTTACATCCTAATCTATATATACCTTAGGCTATGCTTCATGTATTCACCTTGGATTATATGATATTGAGAGAGCCTTAGTGCCTTAGAATCTTCCTAAGTCCCTTAGGTCAATTCATCCACATTCATCCTATTTCCACCTTGAGTGCACCAAACCTAGGCGTGACCTTCATCCACCATGAAGTGAGTCAAATCCTATAGTGTTTCTCAAACCTTCCATCAAACATCTTATCTCCCTCATCATTCTCGGCCATCTTCATCATCCAAGGCTAGACTACTTGAAGGATCATGATCCTTGGAGTCAAGGAGACCCCCCTTTGATAATTCTTCATCCATCAATGCTAGGAGGGTTTTGCATCACAAGATATATCAACCTATTAAACCGTTTGAGTGCAATAAAAAATCTCCAAACCAAAGAACACCACTCATTTAGTAGTAGAAATAATTTTTTAAGGTAGAAAAATGAGTGAACATAGTGTATCTTCTTATTTTTCTTCCAGCACTAGTATTTATAAAGATACACACCGTGCGATTCTAAATGGAACACAAATAAGAAGAATGTGATCGCATAACGCAAATGTTGCTAACATGCAACAACCAAAATTTAATAAAGTTAAAAAAAATTGAGTCATAAAGTTATTGTCGTAATATTTGCTAAATCACTAATGAATAACATTTGAAATTAATCAATATATTTATGCATTCGTTACTAAAATCAAAAGAGGAAAAAAATACTAGGTCAAATGCTTCAAACCTAGATATAATAAAAATGGTCGATTAAAATAAAACAAAACTTAAACAATCATATTTTTAAATATTAAATTATAATATTAATTTCTAATAATACCTACTTTGTTTCGCTAGTAATACAATTACAAAAATAACCTTATGTGTATAATACATTAAGTTGGGAGGTATATTGATTAAGAAGAAAACTTATAAAAGACAATTTTTTGATTTACTTTTACTTCTCCTCCAACTTAGTTGTAGGATGTTACTTGTTTATATTTTATTTTCTATTTTTTTGTTTCTTTTCACCCTTTTACCAAAAAAAAAATTATTGGGGGTGATGTTGGGTAGGGAAACCCAAGATGGGAGCAGGGATCCGAGGTTAGAGTGAATATGATTTAAAATCTTAGGAGTAGAGTAGAGAATGTAAAACCTACTCTTGCCCCCACCCCGCTCCATTGCGATGCCTAGAATAGAAGGAGTAATGGAGAGTGTGAGATTTGATAGAGAAGGTACATCATATAACAATGTGAAAGAGATTAATCTAATGGTCTATAATAATGTTGCACCATAAACCACTTGTAAACATTGTGCACTTTATCTGTAATCATTTTTTTGAACTCAATTAAGGGGTTCTTCATAATCGTATTGAAAATAAATAAAAGTTGAATGCATTTATTTTTGTTATGCATTAGTGTTAGAAAGAGATATATTATATTAGTTAAAGTTTTTTTTTTTTTGGTAAAAAAAAGATTTAAATACATTTTTACTTCTTCAAGTATTGTAATTATGTGATTTTAGTTTCTAAATTTTAATAAAAAGATTTTAGTATCTCAAATATTACAATTGTGTGTTTTTAATTCTCCAAATTTTAATTGAACAATTTTAATTATTTAAATATTATAATTATATAATTTTAATTAAATGTACTATATTTACAAAAAAAACATAAATAACAACAAATAGTCATATTTGTAAAATATATTAAAAAAACACATAAAAGATAATATGATTTTAGTATAGACACACAATTTGTATACCTGCATTAAATTATATAAGATACTAAAATATTAATATAATTTAAAATAGGAAAAATTTTAAAATTTTTCACAAACTCAATATTCTTAAAAATGTTTTCATGCTTATATTATTATTATTATTATTATTATTTAAATTTAATTTTATCTCATTTTTATATTAAATTAATTTATTAAAAGAATATAATAAAATAATTCTGTCTTACATAACGAAACAATTAATATAAACTCATAAAAATTGAAAAATATTCCCCAAATTTTCCCTTGGGCCTTCATAATTCTTATCCATCCATCAATCCACTTTCCCAATCCCAGCGAGCGAACCTGTGTGGCTTCCATCTCTCAAAAGCCAAAGCACTTGCCATGGCATTGGCAGCAGCATCAACGAGTATGAGCTTCAACCTGGCAACAGCGTTCAAAGGCCTTTCTCTGTCGTCTTCCTCTTCCTCTTGCTCCTCCTTCTTCGCAGGGACTTCCCTCCGCGCGGGCCCCACCTCGGTGGTGTCTCTGCCCCGGAGGTGCCCGCTCACCATAGAGAACGCCCACAAGAAGGGAGCGGGCAGCACCAAGAACGGCCGCGACTCGCAGAGCAAGCGCCTCGGAGTCAAGATTTACGGCGACCAAGTCGCCAAGCCCGGTTCCATCATCGTTCGCCAGCGCGGAACCAAGGTGATTCCGTTGCTCTTGTCGCCTTTACTTTCGGCATCATTGCAAATGTCACGTTGTAGTTCACGTTACAGGCTAGGCTTTTTGTTTTTAAGGTTGTTGACACAGTTATTATGACCGTCAATGTTTTACCATCTGACTAATGGACTGTTTGGGGATAAATTTATTGGAAATCACTTATGGAGAAAGAAAATAGGAAGAAAAAAAAAATGAAATTAGCTTCTCTATAAATTAAAATTAGTTTTTGTATAAGAAGTTTGTCTAAGAGAGGAAGGGAGAAGAAAAAATGAAACAAGTTTCCCAAAGCTTTTTTAACTTGTGCATAAGCTTAAAGAGAAGTTTATTTCAATTTTTCATCTTGTAAATGTTTTTGGAGAAGTTTGTGCAAACGGACTCTAAAGCTGATTTGTAGAAGCTCTCTTGTATTACCTTCTCCGGAAACTTCTTTATAACTTTGCACAAGCAAATTTTGGAGAAGCTAATTTCATTTTCCATTTCTATTTTCTTCTCCTATAAGTGGTTTTAGGAAAATTTATCTAAACAGACTCTATCGTGACCAAAATAAGGTTTGGGCATAGCCGCAAGTAAGTCCATGTTGTAGACCTAGAACATGTTTGGATACGGTTTAGAAGGGCTTTTGAGAGTTTCTCTATTGAAAATGAAGATTGTTTTCTAATAAAGAAACTCTCAAAAATGCTTCTAAGCTTGTACCTAAAGTCCAAACAGGCTCTAAGTTTTGTCCTTTTGAAAATGAAAAAACTTAAATTCCGAATCTTGGGTACTTTTAGTTCATGTCCTTGATCAAAATTAGAATTTTACCTTGTTAATAAGAACTACATAGGTGGATGTTAGTTATTGACGTAAAATTTTAATTTTAATCAGAGGATAATACCAAAATAACTCAAGGTATTGTGCTTAGGTTTTATTTGTGGTAGAAAGAAATAGGAGTGGCAGTCAATTGTTGGGTTACAGATTAACAGTTTGGTGGCCTTCTGTTTTGATTTTCTAATGGTGAACGGAGATTGATAGTTTTCAGATTATGATAAGCTTTTCTTGCTTTTTTGATCCGTTTACTGTATGTTTTATTGAAATTGTCGAACAGATGATTGCTGGTTGGTGCTTGCTAATAAATTTTGACATGAATGTGTATTGACAATCACATCTGAAAATCAATGTTTAGTGTGCTATTCATTGGCTAGAAAATGATTACAGAAAGAACAGAGAATGAATAAGGTTTGTTATGATGGTTGCTAAATATGGTAGAGCGATTCCATAACTTTTATAACACACTTTACTGGCAGGAAGAACTTCCTCATGTCAGTTCTATATTTAGTGTTATAAATTATAATGCTACTGAGGGAGGAAGTAATTAAGGTCTCATTTTTGCAGTACTGCAGTATGCAATCAATCTATCCTGTGGGCGAACTAGGGGAGGTCATGCTTAAAAATTAATAAACAAAACCTTATGTTTTATTAATTTTTAAACCTATAAAAAAGGGAGCTAACATAACTGTGCTCCATTCTTGAATCTATCATGCTTTTGTCGCAACACTTATCTGTTCATACTGTCTAATCCATAGTGCCATGCCCATACTCACTGTTTTCTAAGTTCTAATTATTTTTCTCTGCAAACCTTGAAGTTTCATGCAGGAAAGAATGTGGGGCTTGGAAAAGACTATACCATCTTCTCCTTGATTGACGGAGTTGTAAAATTTGAGAAATTTGGACCTGACAGGAAAAAGGTTAGTAAATTCTCTTACAACTAGATGATATATGTGTCATATAATCGTAGAGAATACAAATTAACGAGCTATGCAAGTTGCATTGTTACAGATCAGTGTTTACCCTCGAGAAGTACAACCTGAGAATCCCAACAGCTATAGAGCAAGGAAGAGAGAGTTCTTCAGGATGAGGCGTGAACGCAAAAAAGCTAGACAAGAAGAAGCAATACTTAAATCTCAACTGGTGCTTGCTTCCGCTGATGATGCAGCAATCACCAATCCGTTGTGTTGATTCTGATTCAATCACCTCAATGTGTAAAATATCCCGGTCCCAATTTTCTGCTTTTATGTATCTGTGAAACCTTAGCATTGTATTGAATTTCATTGAAGTAGCAAAATACCAAGTTGATTGAACCATTCGTGGCCATAATCCATTTGTTGTTCTGCCTATATAACCCAATTACCTAACACTCATTTACTTGACGTTTGTTCTATAATTTTTGTTTGATGAATAAAATAAATCTTTTACTTGATAAGTTCACATATTCAAAACATTTAATCATCACGTGCCATCTGGATCAAAACATTGCATGATAAATTCAAGGGAAAATTAAACTGAAACGCTCTGGTTTATTGTAATTCACGATATTCTTGTCTTTAAATTGTTTGACATGCATTATATGTGCATCTTTGTCATCTCCGAAACACGTCACACTGTATATTTCTGTAAGGGGGTTTACGTTTGCCATTAAATAAAAGACAAGGATGTATCATGTGAAATTTCATGAAACTATAGAGGATATCAGTGTAATATATTCTGAATTCTATAGTATGATAATTTGGTTTTGTAGTATTTGTAGTATTTTTACATGCTTGTTGCACTTGCACTCTTGTTATTGTTGTGATATACACGTTAGAATCATGGTGATTCTCTTGTATGGATGAACCGGTGCATCCTAAAACGCTGGCCTCATGTGTCCAGCAGTTTTATGGAGTTGCTTAGTAAGTGTTGTATTAACCCTTCTGTAATTATCCTGGTGAATAAATGAATTAGCACCGGGGTAATTTGCAAGTAAGCTCTAACGAGGTTCATTGTAATTGATGGGAAATATAACCAGTGTCTTATCAAACCCAAAATCATAAACCAACCAATTCAAGTTTATGTGTTTAACTAGCCTTACCTCGTTACTCACAAACAGAACTTTCTTGGCTTCCTTGGCCTCAGTTGCATATTTCCAACATCATATATTAATCATAGCAAACAATCAAGAGAATATGATAAAGGCAATAAGTATATTGATCCCTGAATAACAATAGCAGTTAGCCATTTCAAAACCCAAGAAAAGGGTAAATGTGGCATAAGAAATAAAAGCACATGATTGGTATTTTTTCTTCTCAGATTAATTTGGAACTGAAAAAAATGAAAAAGTAAATGAAAAAGTAAATGTTTATTATGATCTCTATTGGTGTTCCTGCTAGGAAACACTCTTACGTTGATGCTCTCTGACACTTAATCTTCTTCCAAGTTGAGGTGATAACTTCTCGAATCCTTGTCTCGAAAAGAGGGGGAGGGTACTTGCAAAGATGCTCTGAAGCTCAAGTCAGTACTCGGTATAGAGTAATAAATATTATAGTATTAAATAATCATACCTCTTTTTCTATCTTGCTAGTGTGATATTTATGGTGACATATTTGAGCATGATGGGCCTTTGGATGGTGACATATTTGGGCCTGCAAGACGTGGTAACCATAGTAATTAAGATGTGGTATACTTTATAGCTGAATATTCCTTCGGGTGACGTCTTGGCCAAAGGAGGATTCGGTTTTAGCAGAGACCGAGTGGTATTTTATGCATGTTTTGCCTGACGTCCCTTCGGATTAGTCTTCAGTCGAGTGGGTATTCGGATTGAGACCCCCCTAGAACAATTGGTATTATAATGTTCTTCACGTGCATCATCGACCATTGCTCATATCTTAATTTGGATAAGATCATTAAGGAAAATGTTGTCAACTTATTTGTTTCTAAAGTTCACTCTGGTAACCCAACTCGTATCTTGTTTCATTGCTTTCGTCCATTTCATGCTCGTCTTCCTATAATCCAATTTACTTATTCAATCAGTTCTATCTTTTGTTTGTTTGATTATAAACATATTTCTATTTAGGCTATAATTTTCGAAGCTTTATATTAATAGGAATATCGCCATTTTGTTGCAATTTCTTTTTTTGTTTTTTAAATCAAGATATCCCTTAGCCAATTGTAGGAGATTAATTCCTCTCGAAGCGTAATGAACATGAAGTAAATTTTGTTTCTCCTAACAGCCTTCTCCACATTGGTTCAGACAATCAAATCTATGTCAACAAGGTTAAGGTATCTAGAATTGTGTTGGACCTGTTTGGTTGCTTTGTTTTGTTAAATGTTTAGTAATGAGTGGATATCAATATTTGTTTAATCTTTAAACCGAAGAGGGTACGTTGAAAGACGTGTGGATCAATTTTTAAGTCTAGAGTGGGACCAACTTTAAAACACTAATAGTCAGCAAAAAATGAGTTTTAGTGAAAAATAATGAAAAAGTTCAACAGAACCACAGAAGTCTTGGTATTTATATGTTTGGCGTTTTAGGAAAAAAAATAGTACCTGTTCCTATATATAACTCTCAATATTCTAATTCATCATGGTTTAAAAAAAAATTAATTTAGATGATAATAATAAATTCATCTTATATATATATATAATGACGGATCCAAAAATTTTAGATAGTGGAAACAATATTTATTCGTATATTTGTAGTATTAAAAATTTTACATATAATTTTTAAAAATATAAATATATCATAATTATTTTTTACAAGGTTTTATATCTACAATTATAATTAAAAATAAAAATAAATTAAGTCCGACTAGATTATATTATAATTTATCTGTCATAAACATTTTTTCAAATGTTTGGTTAGAATTATAATCCTAAAGACCTACTTTAAAATAATTTAATACTAATAAAAACATAAAAATTAAAATTAAATTTTATAAAAATCAAGTTTAATTTATTTATGA